TAGTCTCAGCCCAAAGAAAATAGAACGTATTGTTATAGAAATTAATCCTGATTTAGGTGGCTTGAGTAGGTTGATTTGCAGTGATTGAGGATTCGGATTTCCATCAGAAACCCCTATGCTTTAGGCGGATAGGTAATGAAAGAGAACGGGACAATTGTATGGTGATACCCCACGTAGATTGACTAATGAAGTGCTCTACCCAGTGTTCTAGATGATCCTGAAGATTGTCAATCATGTTTCTAGCTCATAAAAATTAGTGTTTGTAAGTTTAATGTTTAGTAAATTAGAAAGCCAATTTTCCCTTCATCTATGAGTTTTTGATGGTTTATTAGATAATCCTAAACCTATCTCTATTTGATATTCGACTGCAGAGGTAACAATAGACGATTTGTATAAATCAACCATTTAGGGCAGAGAATCTGTTAACCATCGAAACGAAGATTAATTTGATATACAAGAGGATTGACAGAAAGGAGTTCGTTATTTAATTATACTACCAGTTATTGACCATATTAGTTACGTCCAGGCCTGAGTTAAAGAAGGAAAACTTTGTGCGGCATATTGGGGATGACAAAAGAGTAAGATGACATAGAGTAAAAATAGATTTGGAACTCCAAAATTATACAGAATACAGCCATTGCTATTTGTGATCTACCAGTCAACACTGGACATTCGAATGATTTTCTTGTATCCTAACTGCTAACCTGAACATCTAAGTTATCAACTAGCTTTACGATGAAAGGGCTTGTCTGAATTGACTCATTTAGCGGTAGAACTCATCTGTGACTATATCCCGGGTGGTAGTTACAAATTAGGTAAAGGTAACAAATAAATATTGTTCATCATCACAGATATTTTTTACATTAGTTGAACCTTCCAGTCCAGAAGCATATGAACAATTGTTATAAAAACCCGGTAGATTAGTAGCGTTTCGGCGCTTAGTTCCAAACTGATAATTTATGGTCTACAGGTAAGTGCTAATGGAATGTAATTTATGGATCAAGATCTGGAGAGTGAATTGGGAGTATTTCAAGAAGTTGCGAATAAGAGTCCGTGATGTACAATTCACACCAAAGACGCGTTTTCAGAGTTTTAAAGTATCTGGGCTCAATCTGATGAGTTCGAGTGTATGATGCGCTAACACGTCGAGGGTTAGGATTTAAAAAATGTAAATTCTACTGGTTAGGTCGAAGTAGAAATATTTCAATTTCTTTGTTATTTAAGATACTTTCATATAAAATAAACCTTTTATCCTCTGAGATGGGAAACACACTTACTGAGGTAACGTGATGTAGGAGTTCCTTAAGAAAGATGAGTGGACGTTTGAGACTGGAATGGTATTAGTGGAGAGAATATTCCTTTAAGAAAGTTGAAAAGCACTAACTCTAGGCCAGTAGTCCACGTAAAATTCTGATCGCTGAAGGAATGACATATGAATATGCTATGGACACCAGCAATTTTGAGAGTATATCAAAGTAAGCTAAGGAAAGTTTTTCGGGTTATACTTTAAGGTTACAAACATTACGGGGATACACTTCTGAAGTAACTGCAAAAAATTACACTAACTATTAAATGCCATAAATTACTTATTGTTTTCACGTTTATCTAATTTAGAATCTTAGTACTGGTGGATGTTTCAATTTAATCCTAATCGTGTTCATATTGACATAAACGATAAGCTTTTGATAGTGTCGCGTTCTCTGATCCAAATGGTTTAATTACAAATCAATATTATTCTGGATGACATGAGATGAAATAACTACCAAAAGTATTCATTTAAGTTGTAAGTTCTCTTCAGCGTCTCAAAATTTCAAATGCCTTATAAACTTACTTACTTACGCCTGTTACTCCCAATGGAGCATAGGCCGCTGACCAGCATTCTCCAACCCACTCTATCCTGGGCCTTCTTTTCTAGTTCCATCCAATTCTTGTTCATTTTTCTCATGTCTATCTCCATTTCTCGGCGTAATGTGTTCTTTGGTCTTCCTCTTTTCCTTTGACCTTCAGGATTCCATGTGAGGGCTTGTCTTGTGACACAGTTGGGTGCTTTCCTCAATGTGTGTCCTATCCACTTCCAGCGCTTCTTCCTGATTTCTTCCTCCGCTGGGATCTGGTTTGTTCTCTCCAACAGTACGTTGTTGCTAATAGTGTCCGGCCAATGGATCTGAAGTATTTTGCGTAGACAATTGTTAATAAACACCTGTATTTTCTGGATGATGGCTTTTGTAGTTCTCCAGGTTTCTGCCCCATACAGTAGAACTGTCTTGACATTTGTATTGAAAATCCTGACCTTTGTGTTGGTTGACAGTTGCTTTGAGTTTCAGATGTTCCTCAGCTGTAAATATGCTGCTCTTGCTTTGCCGATCCGCGCCTTCACATCTGCATCAGATCCACCCTGTTCATCAATGATGCTGCCCAAAGACGTAAAGGTTTTTACATCTTCCAAATCTTCTCCGTCAATTGTGATTGGATTGGTGCATTCTGTGTTGTATCGGAGAATCCTGCTTTTCCCTTTGTGTATATTGAGACCTATTGCTGCTGCCACACTGTTTGTCTTCTCCTGCATCTGTTGTTGCGTTTGGGATAGAAGGGCCAGATCATCTGCGAAGTCTAGATCATCCAACTGCATCTTAGATGTCCATTGTATCCCGCGCTTCCCTTCAGACGTTGACGTCTTCATGATCCAGTCGATCACCAGGAGAAAGAGAAAGGTTGATAGTAAGCAACCTTGCCTAACACCGGTCTTCACTTTGAACGACTTTGTCAATTGTCCTCCATGCACGATTTTGCAGTGTAATCCATCATATGAGTTCTGTATTATATTGACTATCTTCTGAGGTACGCCGTAGTGTCGAAGAAGTTTCCATAGTGTTGTTCTGTCCACGCTATCAAATGCCTTTTCGTAGTCAATGAAGTTGATGTAGAGTGATGAACTCCATTCAATTGATTATTCTACAATGATTCGTAGAGCTGCGATTTGGTCTGTACACGATCTATCCTTACGGAATCCTGCCTGTTGGTCACGAAGTTGGGCGTCTACGCAGTCCTTCATCCTGTTTAACAAGACCCTATTGAAGACTTTTCCCGGTATTGAGAGAAGAGTGATGCCCCTGTAGTTATCACAGTTGCTGAGATCGCCTTTCTTCGGTATTTTGATCAGTAGTCCTTCTTTCCAGTTTGTTGGTACTTGTTCCTCATCCCAAATCTTATTGAAGAGAATGTGGAGTATCCTTGCAGTTACCGCTACGTCTGCTTTTAGTGCCTCTGCTGGGATTTTGTCCGGTCCTGCTGCTTTGCCACTCTTGATTTGTCTGATGGCCATGCTGATTTCTTCAATTGTTGGTGGGCTAACATTGATTGGGAGGTCCGTGGGTGCTGCTTCGATGTTGGGTGGGTTCAGTGGAGCTGGTCGATTCAACAGTTCATTGAAGTGTTCTACCCACCTGTTTTGTTGCTCTTTAATGTTGGTGATTACCTCGCCTTCCTTGCTTTTCACTGGTCGTTCTGGTTTGCGGCGATGTCGAGACAGTTTCTTTGTCGTGTCATACAATTGTCTCATGTTTCCTTCTCTTGCAGCCTTTTCTGCCGTCGTTGCTAAATCTTCCACATATTTACGTTTGTCGGTTCTGATGCTCCTCTTCACTTGTTTGTTTACTTCTGTGTATTCAGCTTGTGCCTTGGCTTTTTCTGCTCTTGTTCGGCTGGTATTGATTGCTGCCTTCTTGTTCCTCCTTTCTAGGATCTTATCCAGTGTATCAACAGTGATCCATTCCTTGTGGTGGTGCTTCTTGTGACCCAGGACCTCATGACATGTTGAAGTGATTGCCTCTTTGATCCCCTTCCAGTTGCTCTCCACAGTAGTTCCTTCTCCATTGAGTGGATCATGAAAGGCCTGGAACTCATTGCTGAGGACTATCTTGAATTTGTTAGTATCCTGGAGAAAGGCCGTATTGAACTTTCGTGATACTGTCTGCCCCGTTGTCCAGTGCTTTTTGAGTTTCAATTTCATCTTGGTGACCAGCAAGTGATGATCTGATGCTATATCAACTCCTCTCTTGGTTCTCACGTCTTCCATCGTCCTCCTGAACTTTTTGTTGATGCAGATATGGTCGATTTGATTTTGTGTAGTGTGATCCGGTGAAGTCCATGTGATTTTATGAATGCGCTTATGTGGGAATATAGTACTACCTATGACCAGTTTATTGAAGGCACATAGGTTTGCAAATCTCTCACCATTTTTGTTCCTTTCTCCCAGTCCGTGTCGTCCCATGATGTCTTCATATCCAGTGTTGTCCGTCCCAACCTTGGCATTTAAATCTCCCATCAGAATGGTCAGGTCCTTTGTTGGGCACTTCTCGACGATTGACTGCAGCCTATTGTAGAATTGATCTTTAGCGTCTTCATTGTGGTCGTTGGTAGGCGCATAGCATTGGATGATGTTCATTGAAATACCCTCTTTCTTTGTTTTAAACGAGGCTTTGATGATCCTTGGTCCATGAGATTCCCATCCTATAAGTGCATTTTGTGGTTGTTTGGACAGCATCAATGCAACTCCTTGTGTATGTGGTGCATTTTCTTCTTCATGGCCGGAGTATAACAGGAGCTCTTCTGTAGTTAGTCGTTGTTGTCCAACTTGTGTCCAATGTGTTTCACTGATCCCAAGTACCTCTAGGTTGTATCTTCTCATTTCTGCAGCAATCTGGAAGGCTCTTCCGGTGTCCCACATTGTACGAACATTCCATGTACCTAAATAAATGGTCGCTCTGGTTGTCAGAAGGGGCATCGGCCTCGTAACTTCCGAAGGGATTCGGCTTTCATCATGAGGCGTCATAATCCTTCTAAATGAAGATCTTCTGACTCCCAGGGCAGAGTTTAAAAGGTTTGAATAATTTTTTCTGGTTAGCGTTTTTTTAGCGAGTTAGTTTTCCACGGGATGGGGTCGCTAACCCCATGCCCAACCCTCCTCCTTTATCCGGGCTTGGGACCGGCAGTAGCCCCCGGAGGGACTCCAGGCGGAAGTAAATTTTATCCAAAGGTTTAAGAAGTCCAATATCATTAGTTTTTAATGATGCATTGTGTTTTTAGTCTAATTAAGTCAGTCAATGATAAGGCCAATTCATTGACAACTGGGAAAGTAACGAGAGCCATATCATCTGACACGTTTTGTTCGCAAACAAACGAACATAATTTGTTTGATTAATTTAGCATAAAAGCAAAACATACCTTTGGGTACACATATGTAGAGAGTATCGTATGTAAATTGAAGACAAAATCAGTAAAACAAAATTTAGAAAAAAATATTTAATAAAATAATTTTCATTACCCAGAGACAATAATAATAATAATAATAATAATAATAATAATAATAATAATAATAATAATGGTAATCGAAAAGAGAAAACGGAAATTACATACTAAAAAAAGATTACTAATTGGTAATAGATCACAGTTTATTCAAAACACAGTATACCACTAATTTTACCACTTCACCGCCTACCCTAACCTCCACAAAACGTTTCTCATCAATCATTACTGTGATAGATGATTACTGGAATATACACAATAAAAATAACATTATAATTTAAGTGTTTTTAAGGGAAAGTCATAGAGGAGGTTAGATTTATTCTTGCCCAAATCCCTTAGTTTCTTCAATTGCCATTTGCAGTTTTTCGCACAACTGATCGTATGAATTGTATGGCGGTAAATCTAACCGGTTGAAGCATGTGTGACTACGTGGTAGCCATTGTTCATCACCTGTACGCTCTATACAAAATAACTGACGACCACCACTGCCTAAAAAGGAAAAGAAATTAATGACAATCAAGTGTATTTATTGGTATTACAATTACTACTGAAAAATATTCTGACTACAAAGCTAAACACTCACTACAAGTCATAGACTGCAACGGTGCAAATTTTTTGATTAACCATTTGGAGTTTTTAGTGTGATCTGGTTTGGTTAACTCATTTAATGCACTGCATAAAGTGTTATTACCCTTAACCTCACGAATTAAAATTAATACATGATTAACAAATGAGAAGAATCCAACCCATACTTCAGTCAATTATCACTTGAAATAATCGATTTCTGTAAGTTCTTCCAGTGCAAGTTCAGTAGATAAAAATATTAATCATATATCTAATCGGACAAAATAAAAAAGCACTCAACATCATGACTATAAGTGACTTTTAGTTCAATAACTAATAATAAATATATTAAATTGAAACTAAATAAATGCAATTAGTCACAAAGTTGTATGCCAAATATTGATTCAACTTTAACCATTGTTAGTGATTGATATTTTAAAAATCCGGTGAAAAATTTACACACTTCACATTAATTACAGGAGAGAAATTATTCGGTCGATATATTGCAGAAGTTACTACTCACCAGTTAATTCAGAGAAGCCTCCTAATGGTAAATGACAGGTACCTGTGACGAATTGTAGAAGACGAGCACGATGTTCATTATCCAGTTTTCGAATCAACTTCATGAAATAAAACAATTCAGAGGAAAGAATAGATAGAATAGCCATGAACAAAATATCCAAGAGTACAAATAAATTGTGATTAGAAAAATAGCTTGTCAGAAAAAAGGTAAACAAGTTTGGGACTTGATTTTCGACACACATCTATCTTTTTAAAAAATCAAACAAATGGTTGTTAAGTTTAACCGCGATTCTTTTCAAGGACACCGGAAATTATTGCTTCGGAATATTAGGAAAAATTATCAGTCACTCTATTCCATTAAATTTCACTACAATCATAACATGATTTGAAACGATATGTACATAATACAAATAGATTTATGATGAAACGTCTATCTAAGGTCAAATTAACACAAATTTGTTCAATACAATGTCTCGGTCAAGTATCATAAAGGTTAACGTTACAAATTCATGAGAAATAAATATGAATTTACTAGGCATGAAACGTCGATCCTTAGAAATCAATCAGTTAGTAAGTAGATGAACATAGGAGCTAAAATTACTTTCTCGGATGATATAATTACTACTATAGTGAATAGAGTTGTCGATTGGGGAAGGAAGCACACAGAAATTCAGTGCATTTGTTCAGATAAGATCTTTTGTGAAGACATTAACAATAATTCAGAAACATGTGTGATAATGTAAGAATATCAAGAAACCTAAACAATGAGAAGTATAAAGTAATAAGTTCGGTCTTAAAGCATGTCTACAACATTTTTTAAACAACGAGAATGAATTTGGAGCTATCAGCTCTATGTAAATAGCTTAAAACAATTTGAGTACAAATGTTATGATAATAAAATGATGTTTTTGATACTCAATTCATTTAGTTGGTAAACGGCTTTCTGCAATTTACGCAATAATTGACAAGTTTAACGGATCAACAAAGATTAAATAAATTAATAAATGAACATAGCTCAGATTGATTTTAGTAGGATCACAACAAAAGACTGCAAAGGAATTATGTAAATATCCTTGATTTTTCCTGAGAAAAAGATTCTGGTTTTCATCGACAACAGAATACGTCATAAGACAAGAAAGGTGAACGTTGCAGTGCAGAAAACTTTCTTTTTAGACTAACTCATCTTCATAAATGTACATTCGTGAATGTATAATTAACAGAAGGATTAATTTCTTACAAAGTAGTTCCCATGATATAGGCTAAAATTAATTAGTAGATACCACTCAGTGTAAAGTATCAAATTCTACTTATATAGCTACCCTTTAGTATAATGAATATCATGAAATGAAATGTAATATATGTTATGGTACGGGCACACACACATAAAGACAGACAGGTGGAAAGTTGGCACATTTGTTTACCTTCCAAAACCAAATAATCTGTTTACTTGATCGTGTGTACTTTATGTAGACCGTATTCTTTTCCCAATCGTCAACATCAATCTCTGGCATACCGGATAATAGGAGCTTCAAAATAAAAAGAAAACGATAAACAGCGGTCAGAAATAATTATACGGTGGTGAGCTAAAACTTTTAAGTAATAGTGAACTATTAAAATAAGTCGCTTGCTTTTACTTTAACAGAGTAAAACAAAGCCATTAGTAACAGAGGATGGCTGTTCAACACTATTATTTGATTATAGACTTCTTCAAAGGATTGCTCAAGCATATTGACACTGACAAATGAGCAATACTAAGATTATAATTAGGGTACTGAGTAAAGATAAATGTTCTTCATTGATGCATCTTTCAATGCCAGATACCTCCGTAAAGTGTGTCTATCAAGAGGATCGAATGCTGCCTCAAGAACAAGGAATACAACAACAGTCAAATGTTAGAAAGTATATCTATATTTCAGTACTTGACGAAGGGCGAATATTCGGTCAGCACACTCGCGTCCATGTCTGAAAGCAGCCTGATTTCCCAAGATTGGTCTTCACAAGCTTTATTTGAGAGTCAAATAGTTAGAAAGGCTAGTACTTCAGACACTATGTTCGTCAAATCGATCGTTTTGTGGTTGTCACAAAAGGGATTTCATTTTTTTTATGGACGACAACGATCAGTCGTCGAGACCAGTCAGATTGGATTACATCCAGTTCCCAAACTCTGGCCAATATCTCAATCAATTTAACTAGTAAAACTGGACCACTATCTACGGAGTTAAACCATCAAGGCCTGTTAACTTACTTCATTTTCTGTAATCTATTATCCTTTCAGCTTCAATAAGAGTTAGATATAGAGTATAACTGAAGGGTAGCTAACCGGAGGTCAGTTGAATTCTTCCCTAGTATTTTCGCTATCTATCTAATCTCCTAGATTGAGAATGGATAATATAGTTCACCACCACCTGCCTTTCTAATACCTGCTTCCTTGATGCTCCTTTTTCAATCTCTTCTTTCATGGACTTTTACAGCTCATAATCATTGCACAAGCTTTTTGTCAGTCTATGCTCAAGGTGCCTTGGCTACCAATTATTCTTTGAGCCTGTCAGGGTTAGTGCTCACGCCTCTATCTATTCAGTACACACTGCTTGAATCCACTAGTACTTCTAAAAATTTGGTTCAAGTTACTATCAAATCTCGTTGCTGTTTGAACATCTATACCAGGTTGTTTCGAATCGGATATCACTTTATGGTTAACCTGATAGTAGTAGTAGTGATAAAAATACACGAAAAGTGTTGATAGTGAAGACTGGAGAAATATTAGGAAGTAATGAAGGGGTTTGATGGTGAACAAGGTGCTGTCAGAGGTATGAGTGTGATTATTTATGGCCAGTGTTTTTTTTACGACCATTGATAGTTATTAAGTCTACTACTGTGGTGTTTGTTTTGATAATTTCATCTGATTTAATTGCTTTTTTTTTATCATATTTACATTCCTTGATCTATCTATTCACAATTTAACTCACTTATTTGTGTGGCACATATTTATTTTGGTGTTTATTTGTACTAATTGTCCTTTTCAGTCCAAATAATAGACATTGAAATACTAATCTTTACAACTAACAGAAAATTTAGTTATTGGATTGACCAACATATTATTTTGAAAGAAAAAGTACTAGTTAATAATACGCATACAGCATATGAATTAATTAACGAGAAGGCAATAAGTGAACAAAGCGAACAACAATAAGAAATAATATACAGAGAACAAAAGAAAGCTAATGAATCAATAATCCATACAGGGTCTATAAATAACACATTTTAATCGTGCAATCATGAAAAAGGGTCGAGATAAATAATAATTTCTGTATATGAAACAGAAGGTAGTGGAAACGGATAGATTTTTAGACACACATACAAACATAAAAGTGATTAGTTTGATTAACAAGAGTTATGCTCATGTTGACGTGTAACGTCTGCCAACACCCAACATTGAGATGATCGATTTTTAAGGTTGAATTTGATTGTAATACTGTAGTGTATGTAATTTATTGTGAAGAAAGCAAACAAATTAGTCAACCTATAATAACATAAGAATGTATAACAGTAGATGGCGGAGAGGAAACTGAGATTGTACATTTTTTGCAATTTATCTAGTCGATTTTGTGTACCATGTCGTGGGAATAAAATTTTTTTTCACATCTGAGGTTTAATGGTGTGAACGTTAAACTTTCATTTCATTATGTTACTTCAGTTAGTTATTACCACTCGCCAAACATAATTACTGCCAGCTTCATAAATGAAGCCCTGAAAATTTACTGAGGTGAAGTCTAAAACACTATTAATCAAGCTAAAATGCTGAAGAAACATATGTGCGAGAATATCAAATATAGGTTAATTATGGGATGTATACTCAGCACAGAGAATTACGACAATACTAGATATAGTACAGTAAAACATTTGAAGTCATTCGAACTTTCTCAAAAGACCTACTTCAAGTTCACGCTCATCGAATAATTCCAGCCACTCGGGATTTAGTACTTCAAAAATACCTTTGTGAATTTCTTCTGTTTGTTTTTTTACTCCTCTGTTGAATCGCCAATCAACCATCAGTCTAAAATTATGCGTAGATAGTGTTCGAAATAAAAGTTTTCGGTTAGACATCATCAAAATTATTACATATTTACCGAAGAATGTTTGACAAATGTTAGAGCAGAACATTTCGTAATCACGTAGAAGCTGATGTACTAAGAGTTATGGTGTGAGACACATTTATTACCTGCAGACAAATGACTTTTATTACTTTGCAATTTGAAAATAAAGTGCCTAAATCAATGAGACATAGTTAAGCAGATAAAAATCTTCATCCATATGATTAATCATATTTATGAGGGGTCGGCAGATGAACGTCGTCGCTTGCTCTCAAGACATAAGAACTACAAGAATATTTGTCAAGTATATTCACTGCGGTGACCTTAGTCGATTATTCCACTCACGAATTTACTCTTTACATATAACTGCGCTAAGTAGAATACTTTTTAAGTGAAATTAATCAGTACTTTATGAACTATAGTAACTTAATTCTATATAAAACGACTTTTCACATCACAAAAGATTTTTTACAAGTAGACAAGGGACTTAAATAATTACGCGAAATTACTGACAAATATTAATTATTGTGTGAAGGTTACACAATAATTTTGTTGTTCCATTCAAACAACCAATCTTATTAAAAACTTTGGCGGACAGAGATAATCAACAGAAAGCATGGCACAGATTCGCGTCTGTTAAAGTTGTCATACCTGATTACCACGACAAGACGAGAATAACAAAAGAGATCGGAATAATGTGGTGGCAATGATAAACAGATATTGAGAAAACGGTTTGAAAAGACAGACATGAAAAGATACTGGAATTCAAGATCGAGGAGATGAAGAGTGAATGAATCTGGGCCATAGTGAGCGATTCTCAGTCATATTACTCAGTGTTCAACCACTGATGGCCGTTATCACACGGACTCCAAACAGGTAGTTTTCACTTTTCAACATGGTTCAAATCAACAATCGATAATTTCATGGACTGATGCCACATTTCGGTTTGTCCTCCCCTACCTTTCTTTTAATCTCCGTCTGCACAAGTAAGTATCGCTGATTGAGGTAGGTGGTGGTTAACTTTATTTAACATATGTCCGAAACATATGGATCAAAGAAGATTCACTGTCTTACCACTCGATTTAGCACGTTTGCCAAGTACTCCATACCTAATTTCAACATCGCTCATTCGGTCTTTCCAGGAAACGCAAACGAAAAAGCATCGAAGACACCTATGATTAGAAACTTGCAGCCTGCAAATGCCTTCTAATTTCATAGACCATCCCCTTACGGTCTGAAGGAAGAACACAGCAGAGTGCTAGGCAGTGAACACACCCCTGGACAGTCACCAGTACTACTCCGTCCCCGGATCTTTCAGGCGTACCATTCTCCAACCAACCTGCCTAGCATGGTACGATATAAAGGAGCAAGTGTCCTAGGCAATATAGCTCGGTCGGATCATCCCAATAGATAAGCTCGACCACCACGTCAAGGCAGTAGCTAAGGTCGTGTTGAAAATGTGAGAGTACTTACTGCCAATTGCATATCATTATGGAATAGTTCGCTACTGATTAGTTAAGAGAGATATTTGGTAAGTTTTCACCAGTTATTTTCGAAAAGTTTATAAGTAAGAAGTAGTAACAAGCACTATATCAAATGTGATTGATTAACATGAGGCGAGTGAAGACGCCATTCTATCGATGATTTTATTGAAGTATCAAATCAGTTAATAAATGCATTCGTGGAATAAATAATTGCTTTATACTCGTCGAAAGAAGATTAAGAAATACCTTCATCCCCAATAAACCCTTCTCAACTCTATTGGTTCAGTTTAAGTCGTCTAGAGAAAGGATGAAAATGACAGATTAGAACAGTAAACACAAGGCAAATTTTGATTGAAAACCACAGCCACAGGTGACGTAAACAAAGTTCTTACGAAAGACAATAGACTGATCGTTGTGTATCGTAAACAAATCGACATGACAGCTATGATGATTAGTCGCCACAAATCAAAGTCAATTTACCTTCAACACTATGTGCAAATATAGGATCTTCTTTATCGCAATAGACTTGGCCAGTTTCTATCTTTACTTGAAGCTATTATGAACTCAGTCAGATTTTGTGCACTTCAGTCGTAACTAGGATGAAATAGTATCCAACATTTAAGTTCCACAATAAAAGCCTCATGTAATGGAGATTTTAGTTGCGATTCTATGAAATTCGTAATTACACGTAAATCATAAACATACAAAAATCAAATATTAATCTCTAGAGAATTGTCTAAAAAAAAGAGACCGGAGCTTTCTATACATAATTTAGTAGACATACGTAATCTTTTAGTAGGTAATAAATTTGTGTACCTGATATAATCGGATTTATTTTCCTCAGTCACTTTAATATCTTTGCCACCTTCAATAAGTTCGTCTTCACGCAAAGCGCCTAAAAGATCATAGGTTCCAATAAAGTACAAGTCCAAATCACACTCATCAACTGGATTATCTCTAAATAATGAATAGAAAAAAGTACAGAGAAAACAATTGGCCAATCAACAAGCTCAAACTCTCATGAATAAACAAACGAGGGGGGCAATTAAAAAGAACATTGCCTACATCTATTTCATCCAAAGCCTTAGGAAGAAGGCATCAAGCAACTAATTTGTGTATGTAATCAGATCATAAAAGGCGTCAGTTGAGACTGAAATAATTTCACACTAAGTAAAACAGGTCCGTTTTAAGCTAGAGATAACAACACTTTGGTGACGTTAAAAAATAGGAAGCTGAGTTGTAGATAAGGCTCCCTGATCAATGTGAAATTTTTAAAGTACGTATTTGTGTATTGAGTTTTCAGACTTGCTTTTGTTTTTTAAACGAAATCCAATCTTACCTGACTTTACTTTTCGGTGTGTATATTTATGAATCATAGGACACAATTTGAAGTCGAAGCTGCTGGAGTACCACACCAACTGAATTCACTTTCAAAATGTTAACCCGAGTGTTCTAGGATTGGTTTTCTGACGTGAAACTTTTTTTATTGATGACATGAGAGAACTAAAATAGCTTCTAAAAACCCCAGATGCAGTTGTTTTCTTCATTCTTATAACAGTTTTTGACCATCCGATGTGACGGTCTTCAAAAAACTTCCGAACATTTTTTAGGCTATTGACGGATAATTGTGTAATTATAATTGACCAGAAAAAATGGAACGCTTGGTTCAAACCGGCCGTGTTAGATACAACTTTATGTAAGCAGCTATTTGGTAAGTCAGGACGATCTAGAACGCCCAAAACACCAACGGTAGCGAGCTCCTGAGTATGATGAAAATGCAGAAAAGAAACAGTATAAGCCATATGGAAGCAAGACAGATTAAGTACATAGGTTGATATAAAATGGGTATTTTTGGATAATATAATCAAGAGAAGATTAAGCTTTCTATTATGTATGTGATAGTGTTATCATTACTGTAGTTGATAAAAAAAGGAAGTAGGTTAACACTAACAGAAATTCGTTTCATTCACAGGTAATGAAAATAATTATTCTGACATGAAAATAATATATTTGTAATATCCCAATGAGTAGAAAAGTTCAACTCTATCCTTTCGTACGACAAATGTCACATTTTTTATCCTTTAACATACATACACAAACATGCCTCATATGAATCACCTTGACCGGAATGACGACATCGACTTGGTCAGACCTATTTTCTTCATTGATCGCACCAAATATTCTTGTTTCGTTCCTTTGTACTATTTAAACCTGGATTAATTTTATTTGTTCCCTGAAGAGGTAGCTTATACTGAGTTACGAAACGTCAGAAAAGTGTAATTCTTCTACTCATTGGGATATTACAAATATATTGTTTTCATTTATAACAATCTAACCAATGCTCAATTTACTTGGAATTATTCTAAAATGATTAACGAAATGTGGGGGATATTAAAATATTTTGAAAATGAGAACGAATTATTCCTAGTATCGACCCTACTACAGTATTGGAGTATTTGATTAAACAACGACCATGTACTGGTTTAAACACATGTGAGTATTCACGTGGAGAGTCTCAAGAAACATGCCTCTTTAAGAGATAAGGTTATTAAATGTCTATTCATAGAGGAGTTAGGTGCATATATCAGCGATTCACACTCCAATGTATGATAAAGTTTCATTCAACCTGTTGTTAGGGAAACTATGGTCATTTAGTAGCTTGTAACCACAAACTCGAACTAATTAGTCTTCAAATGTTTTTTTCCAGTGACTTTGTGAAGAGTGAAAGCAAACAAACACGGAAAACTCATGTCTTGGTCAAGAGAAAGACTAGTTAGTCACCCTTGTGATTTCCAACACTTTCAGAGACCGCGAACAAACTAGGAGGACAGACACCCACAGATTTGGACGTTTGTCCTGATAAATTTTTAAAAGTGGTAATAAGCTGTTTATCAGAACAGTGTCCTAAGGTGTCAAGCCACAACTTAATGGGTCACGCTGCAACCTGATTGATATAAATTAGCACAAAAAGACTAGACAATAGGATATTGGTTATTACTCAGTTGTCAATTATATATATAATCTTGTCTTAGATTCGATTCGTAAGTTATTATGACTGTTGATCAAAATGTTATATTCGTAGCTTGCCCCCAAATGCCCTGGTACGACCGAGAGTGGGGAGAGTCCGCTCTCCCTCTCGAAATGCTCTCACATGGCCACGCGTATATAGCCTCTGCCAGGGAAGTCCTACTCACTGCCTTCTCGTGGCGGGGGTGTTGTTTACGAAAATGAGAGGATGAAAAGCGAATGTCCGGTGCTTTAACCGGATTCCAAACCAATGGTGCACATGGGCTCCAGTATCCTGCGGGAACAAATGGCGTATGAACCAATTGTTGGTCACCGGCTTCCATGGGACTGCATCTCCTTACGATGCTCCACTGCCTTGTGGATCAGACCTTCAGGTCGAAGGCTCGGGGAGTGGCCCCCTAAGAAAACCACCTGCTTCGGTTTGGGCACCCGGGCAGTATCACAGCCCTCTCACAAATCAAATGGGATTTGTGTGGCGCATATGTATTTGGTGCCTCCTTGTACCAATATCCGTGTTGAAATAAATAAATAATAAATAAATCTGTAAATTCCTATAAATTCCGAATTAGTAAAAGAACTTTACAAAAACTAGCGAAAAGTTCCCGGCCTGTTTCTATTTGCCGCACATTTCATTTCTCGAAATTGAATTATAATAAAAATAGGTTCAAAAATAAATAATAAGTAGTATATATACATAGCAATAACGCACCAACAGTCTAAAACTTCATAAACTAAGTTGCAGATCATATTTGCACGACCAGTTGTTTTTACCGAAGATGAGATGGAAGTTAAAATCAATCGTTTTATTTGAAACAAATGTATTTATGGACCATTGAATTCCTGCTGTTCGTAATTAGGCAGTAACTAGATACAACCATTAGATTGATCTAGTATTCAAGAAATTTCCCAGCGCTCTAACCATTCCTGCTTTCACAATGGAAAAGTCACTTAAGACAATTAGACTACAAATAGCATTAACATTAATCGTTAGAGCGAAAATAAAAAAAATTACAACGGTCTAAAATAACTTAAAATCACAGAAGAGCAGCCAATTCATTTAAGTTACATGCAAATCTGGATGAGGAATCTATAAATGTCTGTATTCATTAGGATCTTAGTCGATGAATTGCGAGTGCCGATAATTAACAGTTTCTATGGAACAACTTTGAGCACATACTTCGGTGCAACTTTTAAGTCCCTAATTTCTGTGACAGAGTGAACCTGAACTAATATACACTTTGATGATGCAAACTACTCTAGAAGCATTTTCTTTTCCTCATTAACTTGAACGATACAACTAGAAAAGCGCTTGGAGAATCTGTTACTTATTGCACAAGTTTGTCAACAATAACCAAGTTGTATGAATAAAAGATCGCTGTATACAGAATAAATATATTTAGATACAGGACTTTTAGATGTCTAACATACATCTTTATCACAAAACATTAGGACATAACACATTAAAGAAAGTACACACAATAAAGCCCAATTTAACCAAATGTACAGATAATGGGGAAGGAAGAAAATCCCTTTGAGTAAGTCATAAAAATATGAAAGTTGGAATCTTGGAACCTTACGGGAGAGACATCACAGCTGGAAACCTAGTGTCAGCTTCTAATAATTAATGACTACGTTAACTAAAGTCAATATGGGAGTACCTGATCATATATATAATCGGGGTGAAAATACTCTTTGGACTAACAGTTATTTAAAGTCTTATAAAGAACTGTCATTCATGGTGACGACTATGTGTGGCGTTCATCAGTAATGTCCAGTTATAATTTCTGTCCGAATTTGTTTTGCAATGACTCTCCCTAGAGTGATCTCTACCCTGAAGATCTACTGATCAACATAGTGTACATGATACGTAGTTGTATGAAAAAAGACTATAATAAGACCTAAGACTATTTAGACACGTTGAGTGAATAAATAAAACTCAATCAGTCAGTCATAACATAGAACCTAGACATATGTACATAAGTTCAAGTTGCCATGCCCCATTAGCACAAAGAGACGAATTCATCAGGCCAAATACTAGAATGGTAGAGGTAGTAACAGTATCAGTGGTAATAGGAAACATTAGGTATCGAAGACACAACTCGAAAAGAACGTATAAATTAGCGAAATAAAAACACTTAAAAAACTTGTGAGGTATTTAGAATCACAGAATTTGGAGGAAGACAAAAATGGATGCACCGACGCGATTGCAAATGAATTTTAGTTATGTCATTCAAAGCCTCTAACTATTTGTTACGATAATTAGGTGGACCCCAACCAGTTAGTCTGTACCTACTAACATGGCTAAGTCCAATTGTCAGTAACTCCATAGACCAATGCTGTTTTAGTTTGGCCGCCCCTAGTTTTCTTCCCGCCTTCTGCACAATAAAACATCGCCCTTCGAGGTGAGCGCTGGTTGGGCATGCGTAATACATGTCCCAAACATCGAAGTAAAGCTATTAACATATGCTTTGGAAATTTCATATGCCAAATGATGTTCCATGAATGATTTACTCTAAAATACAGTTTAGAATGGACAATAAGTTAGGGATGTATATTACTTTGCTTAAGTGAATATTTATACTAACGCTAATGAAATAATCTTTGAAATCTTCACAGTAGTTTGAAAGTGAGTATACTAACACTATTACAATGTTACTTTGCTATTGTAAGACGCACTTTAACAGTGAAAGATATGATTACATTACATCCATTCAACAACGGAGTTCTTAGAAGCATCTTTCATTTGTGGTGGAATAATTGACTAAATATTGTTGACAACTGGTGTGAAGTTCTAGAAGAGGTTTAGTAAGTCAGTAATTTTGTAAACTTGCACTGCGATAGTTGGACTATGTACTACATATGACAAGCAACTGTCTAAACCGGAATGCGGTTTCGACTAAATGAGATCTAAGTTAGGAAAGATGTTTAGGATAGCCAGACCAAAATATATTACCAGTTTATAAAGTCACCAAACATTAACGAATTATGTGAGGAAACCAATGAACTTCCTGGGACGGGATAGTATCTATGATATGATAGGATTTAGTGCTTAGTGACTCCATACGACATGATCCAGAATAAATCACAATAGTGTTTTAGATGAGTTCATTCTCTGGATTTCTCTAGATTTCGAATATTTTATTACTCGTCATTTTTTCCTTCGTTAGACATCTAATTATTTAAACATTCTAGTATTTCTAGACGTTATTGGATAATGCATCTCTGTTGTTTATTTAGTCTCATTGATGCTTAATATATGGTCCTACTAGAAGGTATTATAGCTGTGTGAAAACTTTATTTACTTATCATACAAAAATGTCTTTTAAAATAATTATTTATTTTGTCTACATATTACAGACTTATTCGCAAAACTTGTAACATATTGTAGGATGGTGTAGTAAAAAGGATTTTTAGTTGACTTGTTTATACAATTAAATCATATTATGAGCTGAATTAAAATGGATTTTGATTAGCTCTCAGACATTTGATATTCTTTAGAAAAAGAAACACAGATTTCAGTAAATTTCAGATTACAGAGCTGATTTTTGATAATTTGGTTTGACAACACGTATCTCAAAGCTCACGGTTTATGGACTGAGAATTATTTCCAATTGACAATATGTGTAGCAGTAATTTATGGCGAAAACGTCAGAAACATTTTGATTTATCCCTTAAGTTATGGAACGAATCGTTGTAAAATGTTGCTTATTATTATTATTATTATTATTATTATTATTATTATTATTATTATTACTAATGGCTTTATTCAATATTATAGTTTTGGTACAATATAGAATTCTCAGCACAGGTTATTTCAACAAGTTACTTACGCAACAACAACAAAAACACAGTAGCGAATACAAGTTATTGACTAGGTTAACTCTAACAACCTGTTCGTCACAGAGTATATTTGCTAAGTAAGGTATTATAGTGTCTAAAAATTAAATTTTAACCTCTGATATGTATTGTAATCTTTGTTTAAAAATAATTAGTTCGTTAACTCCACGTAAGATATCTACTAAATCTTCCTTAATTTACTGTTTGTCACAAATTGTACCAATCACAAAAATACTACACTAGGTAATCCATTTTACTGATACTCTTACCAATGGGTTTGCTTAAACCATCTTGACAAATAATACTCATATTTATTATTAATTACTGATGAATACTAAATTTCTAAAATATCTCTATACACCACTGCTTTTCTTGGTCATTAGAAATCTTGCTTTTCTAAATTCTAACATACTATTATGCTTTTCTGGATCGAAAAATGACGAAGAAGATGAATTAAGCATTTGAGGTTTTAAAAAAACTATACGTATTTTCAACTGATGCATTTATATGGGAAAAAATAACATTGTCAAAATCATCGTCTCGAACACTATGTCGCCTGAACCTCGCGAATATATTCAAAGACAGTATGAACAGTGGGAAAATAACTTCATGACCACTAGTGTGTGTGTGTGTGGAAATCGGATAGTTTTGCCGAGTGTAGAGTAAAATAAACATTAGTGTTTTGAAGTAGTTCATGATGAAATATGAACCAGAAAATGGTAAACAGGAATACAGAACGGAAATAACGGTTTGTGCAACAAGAGAATTTAATCTTTTGTAATACTTATTTTATCAAGTGGTCAATATTTACGTGCATATTGCAAAAACTGGTACTGAAAACTACAGACAATCGTTTCAAAAAATCATTTGGCTTTTCCACCTAAGACTTTTTTTATGATAAAAATTCCTAATGCTTAGCCTAAGAACCTTATAAGATTCATTCATCAAAAAAGGATAGAAGACATATCCTATTTTACACCCTTTATCTAATAGAAAACAAAGACAGAAGTAGCAAGATAACAGTGTTGCATAAGGATCTTTCATCACTTTAAACCACCAATACTCAACAAGGTTGTGTACCACACCATTTTCATTTAAAAGAGATGATACTTTAAGAGGGATTTTAAAGCCTTACTGAGTTAATCTCTCAATAGATTATAAAATAGTTGTATATATGAAAAATTGTTATAAATTTCATAAAACAAAAGACTTTTCCTATGGATGTAGCTCAGTAACTTCAGTAAAGTGTATTGTTTCACTGCCCTTTATCATTCTTATTATGCCTGACGTCAGAAGGTATCTGAGTGTTAGTTACCAGAAATTCTGTTACTAAAGGTATATTTAGTACTAAGGGCAAAAGAGGATTTTTCTGCTATCTAATCAGAGACCAAAGTCTTGTTAAGAAACTTTCGAATTACATAATGAGAACAGTATGTTTCTAAGAAGTAATTTGTCCTTCATTTATAAGCTCTACATAATTCGTTGCGAGTTCATAACTAACTGATTTGGGTTCAAGATTAAAACCAGCTGCGGAGAGAATCTATCCTCGATCACTTATTGCTGGATGTCCTTTGAACACAGTAGAATATAGCAGATATTCTGATTACCTCTATACACTAGAATTCATTTAATAACTGAAAGTGACAAAAAACCTTGAAAACAAAATACAAGCTTTAGCACGAGAAATAGATGTTTCAGTTTCCACTATTAACCCCACCTTGAATGAAGAACTCCACTACCACTCATAATAGAATCCCCAAGGTGAACTTCATACCGAATACTCTTGAGAAAGGTCTGTAAAAGGTAAAGAAGCTCTTGGATAAAGTAAAGCATTCTGTTAAATCAATGACAATCTCGTTCTTCATGATGGAAAGTCTTTTTCAGAATCAGTTTCCTAACTCTTAAAACAGATGAAGCCCTTACAATCCAAACAAAATTTCCACATTATGAAGATGAAGCCCCCGTAAATTGTAAGTTTTTAGGCGTTTGTAGTGAGGGTAGTGTTAGGTCAGGCCATTTTTCTAGAGAGGGTCTTAGGCTAAACTCTTACCGCCTTATGGAGAGTCCGAAAGCCATGGTTGGTGTTCACTGGAAGGTATGTGTAGCACTATGATTCGGGAAAGTCACACATAAAAAAGACTGAGAAATGGTCGACTGGAGATTTTTGTTTCTTCACGACACCTGATGTTTGGCCCTGTAACCCCCTTGGTTGTAATCTCATAGAATATGCCTGAGACGTGATTGAGGAAATCACCAACTGCATTGCTTGTAACACAAAGACCCAATTAACCAAAGGTGTAATTAATGCCTTCCTTGTGGGTGTCGTAAACGCCACACATGTTAGCTCTGGGAGGCGGATAGATGATGCAGGGGATTTTAAAAGTAGCCTCCTTGTTTGAGTCTCTTTTGACCGCCCTCATGCTGATATTTTTCGAATAAATTTATTTTTTACCGAGATTGTTACATTTTCCCTTTGAATAAAACTGTAAGGTTTATCCTGAACATCTTGTATGTAAACTAGCGAGAAGCCATGATGATAAACTGATCTCAAGAAATATTCCCTTGTTAAATCTAATTATATCTAATTCATAATTAGTGATTATAGTTGAAGTATGTACTTTACAAACAGTTAAACTTGTCTGCATTTAAAACCCAATTTTATTAAAATCACATCATTAATGGTAAAAAAAGTGTGTTTTTATACTATGACCAATGGAATTCAGCCACGTTGATTGTGATAACAAATAAAAGCTCAATCAGAGACAAATTTAATAAGTTACCTTTGGTGCTGAATAGGTGTAGGGTCTAATCCGTTCGAGCTAGAGGGGACTTGTGGTAAATTGTCAAGCATCTAAGAAACAAAAACAACATTTTACACCATCATTATAATTGTATCACATCAATACCAAATTATATAGTAGTCAAAAGTAAAGCGACATTTGTACCAACTAGTGAGGAAAATGCTTTGCGTCTAGTTTATTCAAACTATATGCTAGGGATTACCAAGTGAACAGAGAATTGAACAAAAATGTGATTCAATAATCATAAGTAGGTCCATACATTATGATGGAGCTGTGGTCTGTTGGGTTTGGCAGTTAACTTTTCACCAGAGTCAAGAGTTCGAAACATGTTTTGTCTACCTGGGTTTTGATTGCATACTAATGCCAAGGCAAAACATGTGTGATGTGTTTTTTAGTACAATAGAGCCAGTTACATATTATTATTGGGAAATATGTGAGGGTACAAAACTTTTTGTGGTCGTTCTAAGCGGAGTATATAATGTGAGCGTACCTTGCTATCCAAGTATATATTCCACCACAAGGCTCTGAGTCACTTCAGTTGGTTAAAAAAAATAAATTTGGCACGAGGCTCGCAATTACCGAGAGTCTAAAGCTTAAACCGACGAATTAGAAATAGATGAATGAAATTATTATTATTTTAACACATAGATATTGGTACAAGGAGGCACCAAATACATATGCGCCACACAAATCCCACTTGATTTGTGAGAGGGCTGTGATACTGCCCGGGTGCCCAAACCGAAGCAGGTGGTTTTCTTAGGGGGGCCACTCCCCGAGCCTTCGACCTGAAGGTCTGATCCACAAGGCAGTGGAGCATCGTAAGGAGATGCAGTCCCATGGAAGCCGGTGACCAACAATTGGTTCATACGCCATTTGTTCCCGCAGGATACTGGAGCCCATGTGCACCATTGGTTTGGAATCCGGTTAAAGCACCGGACATTCGCTTTTCATCCTCTCATTTTCGTAAACAACACCCCCGCCACGAGAAGGCAGTGAGTAGGACTTCCCTGGCAGAGGCTATATACGCGTGGCCATGTGAGAGCATTTCGAGAGGGAGAGCGGACTCTCCCCACTCTCGGTCGTACCAGGGCATTTGGGGGCAAGATGAATGATAACCAAGTTCTTATCCATGTGAGCCAGTCTGATAAAAGTCGTGTATAGGGCCCAAGGGAAATGATATACCTTGTTATAAACTGTTTCGATATAAAAGATCATATGAGTTTCTAGATCAGAGAATATAAAGCAACTTGCAATTTTCGGATATCTATGTTCCATACAAAAGAACGTGGATTGATCTAAAACTTTCTGTTTCATTTGTAACTCATACTACCGAGAGGCAAATATGCATCAAACACTGATTTTTAAGTTTTGGACAAGTCAATGTATTGGAGTTTCAAAAGCAAAAATGCTTTTTATTTTTTACAGGTAGGATGATTAGTGGCTTAAAGAAATTTAAAAGTAAATACTTCTGAACTAAATACACTAATCAGAAGTTCAGTTAACCACTATTTCTAGTAATATGTAAGAAGAGCTAACTCCGCCTGGAGATCCTCCGAGGGCTACTGCCGGTCCCAAGCCCGGATAAAGGAGGAGGGTTGGGCATGGGGTTAGCGACCCCATCCTTTAGAAAACTAACTCGCTAAAAAAACGCCAACCAGAAAAAATTATTCAAACCTTTTAAACTCTGCCCTGGGAGTCAGAAGGTCTTTATTTAGAAGAGTTATGACGCCTCATGATGAAAGCCGAGTATGTAAGACGAGCTATCATACTGTTATCTTATTACTCTTATAACGTCAAAAATCACGTCCATATTGGTGATCAGTCATCGTTCATTTAGACGCCTCAATGGATTTATTCACAGTACTAGCCATATATCCTGAAAAAAACACCACCCTCTACCCTTTTCAGAAGAACTCAACGATTATTTTTTGACCAGTTTTAAATAACCAAAAGCTATTACCGGAGCTCCTGTGATTTAGTTAATTTATCCACTAACATACTTGTTTTCGATAGGAAAACCTTTTTAAACTGAGCTAAAACCACTGATAATCTGAACATACGAATGGCTTTCAAATTAGTGTTTCTCCTCTTATTTTAATACAAACTTATTTCCAAATGCATCCACCCATTACATACCGTCATTCCAACAATGTTGGGCTTAAGGAATACAAGCTTTGCAAGGCGGAAGCATTTTAAGTATGTGTGTGTGCTTGAAAACGATTGGGATTTTATACAGCTGACAGCTATTCATATAACTACGCTTTCAAACTTTTAATCGACAACCTTGACTTGCGAGGTCAGGTAGCATATGTAACCCATTCTGATACATTACATGAGTTTGTAAGTGGTCATTTAGAACCGTCTACATACAAAGCCTAAATATTACGAAGGAACAACTAGCTGATAAAATACTGGGGTGAATAATGATTAAACTTTTTAACCGATGAGTGAATGGATAATTTATTTCTGAAACAGTTCCAAACTCCAACTGAACAGATACAGAGGGTAAATAGGTAAATAACGGTATAAAGTGATTTACAGTAAAATAGTTGACCAATTTATTTATTTATTTATTTGAACACATAAATATTGGTACAATAGAGCGCCAATATATATGCGCCACACAAAACAATGGGAATTCGAAGAGAAGTAGAAAGAAGAAAAAAAAACAACTAAGGAACGCAAAAGAAAAAGAGAACAATGACGAAGAGATTGGAGTAAGGTAGTGTGGTAGTAACGACGGAACGAAAAGGTACAATCAGAAGAAATCTTTCAGGTAAAGGAGACACAACCACTTTTTATGAAGAAAGTAAAAGAAGGTTACAGCAGGATCGCCACTGGCTTCTATTCTGAGCCATATCTGATAACGTCTCTAGCCACTGTGTAGCACCATCTCTCGGACCCCAGCCAGGGAGTCGTGAAGGACCAACACAAGCCAGTCCTTTGCAGCTTTCTTTCATGCCACGACACCATGTCATGCACTGACCACCTCTCCGCTTCTTCCAACCAGTCCCAGAGTCGGCAAATAATGCACGACGTGGAATTCTCTGGGACGACATTCGGAGAACATGTCCAAGCCACCGAAGTCGGTGTTTCAAGATGGTGACACCAATTGAATTATCATCTCTGTGCCCGAACACACGATGCCGAACCTCTGCATTACTGACATGGTGTTGCCACTGAATGTCAGCAATCCTTCGGAGACAGCGATGATCGAACACAGAGAGTCGTCTAACGTCCTCAACTCGGAGAGGCCAGGTTTCACAAGCATAGAGCAAAACTGCTCTCACCGACGCGTTGTAGATCCGACCTTTTACAGCCAGACTAACATCACGAAGGCGCCAAAGGTGGCCCAGATTGGCATAAGCCGCTCTGGCTTTCACTATTCGTGCATTGATCTCATCACTCACACCCCCACCAGCACTTATGCAGCTACCCAGATACACGAACTTCTCGACTACTTCTATCTGCTCACCATCCAGGGTGAGTACAGGATTAGAATCCTGCCAGTCTTGTAGAAGTACTTTGCACTTCGAAGGTGCAAAGCACATACCATACCTACGGACACTGATTGCCAACTGATTAAGTGCGGATTGCATGCCTTGGGCATTATCGCACAGTAAGACAATATCGTCCGCATACTCAAGGTCGAGAAGTCTTTCTCCAGGCAACAGATCCACACCACCATTACTTACATTCATCAGAGCTGTTTCCAGAATGTCATCGATGGCAAAGTTGAAGAGGAATGGTGAGATTGGGCAACCCTGCCTAACCCCACTGCTCGAATGGAACAATGGAGAGAGGTGGTTGTATGCCCTCACTCTGCCTGAGGTGTTTTTATACAGGGCTTTTAGGATGTTAATAAACTTCTCAGGCACACCCTTCTTCAATAGACAATCCCAGAGAACAGTCCTATCCAACGAATCGAAGGCAGCCCTGATGTCAAGAAACACTACGATTGTTGGCCTCGCGAGTCAATCTTTCTCGGGTTTTGAACAACCTACGAAGAATGACGGAAGCCAATAGCTTGGACGCAATCGGAAGTAAACTTATCCCCCGATAGTTGTTACAAGAACGACGTGAACCCTTTTTAAAGATAGGGACAACTATCGACTCATTCCATGACGTTGGTACACTCTCTAGTTCCCAAACCTTTGTAAACAACGTCGTCAATTCCTTAGTCAAAAAGTCACCACCATCTTTAAAAAGAGCCGGAGGTAAGTCATCTGGACCAGGTGATTTGTAACGCTTCAAGAGTTGGAGTTCCTTGCAGACTTCCTCCTCATTTGGTGGATCAGTCGTCACCGGCCATGGAGGGTAGGACAGTCTGACCGATGTTGCCGGAGCAGCAGGCCAGTTGAACTGCCCTTCGAAAAATTCTGCCCATCGTCCAAGACGTCGATGGATGTTAGTGATTGGCATCCCATCATCCTCGCAGATTGTTTCACTCACACCAGACTTATTGCTGCCAGTGGCTCGGATGAGCTGGAAGAGCTTCCGGCAGTTACCAGATGCAGCTGCTGCTTCCAGCTCATTAGCACGCATCGACCACCAGGCTTCTCGGTCCTTACGCAAGCTTTGCCCAATTTCCTCACGTAACATCCTTCGTTTATGGTAAAACTCACGGTCACCCGGAGTAGACCGACGGGCTTCAATGAGTTGTAAGGAACCAGAAGAAACCCAGTGCTTAAAAGCGGGACGTTTCGCAAACCTACAACTGACTGTTCCCGCCATTTTCATGGCGTCATGCAATTGCAACCAATGCTCATCTATACTTTTCGGTGGAGTGGTAGCTAGCCTAGAGGCTAGCTCGGTTCGATACTTACTTGCAACAGAAGTTGCAACCAGCTTGCTAACATCAATCCGTTGATGGCGTTCACTTCGTTGTCCACTGAAAAGTAAGGCAAGATTGGCGCAGACCAAGGCATGGTCAGAGTCCAGATAGGTACTCAAAAAGGAGCGGCAGTCTTGCACACAACCACGCCAGCGGTAGCTGATCGTGATGTGATCAATCTGAGTCCAGGCTTGAGATGCAGAGGGAGGACGCCAGGTGGCACATCGGCGATGACTGTGCCGAAAGTTAGTGCTAGCCAGAAACAGGTTGTGGTCTGTGCAAAGTTGCAGTAGACGGTCCCCGTTATCTGACCTGCGACCAACGAGTCCCCATCGGCCACCTAAACGACTCTCTTCTGTGCCTAGACGCCCGACCTGAGCATTCAAGTCTCCGGCTAGTACTACAATATCTGTCGAACGCACTTTCTGGAGAAGAACAGATAATTGGTGGTAAAACTCATCCTTGATTGCATCCGGGCTGCAATCTGTCGGGGCATAGGCGGAGATGACGAAAAGACATCGTTTCTCACGCCGATTTCTTCTCACTTTGATGGAACTTTCTAATCTAACAGCACATAACCGACTGTTAATGGGGATCCAATCGACTAGTGCTGCCTCAGCTCTAGCGCTTAGTGCGACACCAACGCCAGCAAGACCAGACGAAGATGCCACAGGGTCCCCGGATAAGCGCACGTAAAACAAGCTTTTCGAAGCGACAGATGGAGATCGAATTTGTAGTACTTCGCCAGAGTCTTGAGTACGGGTCTCGGATAGACAACACACGTCGATATTAAGACTTTCCAAAGACATAGCCAGCCCTATCTGTTGTCCGACCTGCATAAATGTGCGAACGTTGAAGGCAGCCAGTTTAAATGGTGCACGTGGTTTCAGAAAATCTGCTTCAGTTCTCGTATTCGGTGGTAACATACAATTTCCAACCGGACAGTGACTCGAGAACGTTTAGATACAGTCGGATTTCCACCAAAGACGAGCCGCTGTATAAGTATAAGAGAGGGTGAATAATGTGGAAAATAATAATAATAATGATAATAATAACAATAATGACAATAACAGTAGTAATAATAATATTAGTATCAATAATGACAATAATTGTAATGATAATAATCTGAATCAATTGTTTGTTTTTCAAAGCGAGAAAGGTAATTTCCATAGGCATAAAGAGTTCATCAATTTGTGTGTGGGCTGTGATACTGCCCGGGTGCCCAAACCGAAGCAGGTGGTTATCTTAGGGGGCCACACCCCGAGCCTTTGACCTAAAGGTCTAACCCACAAGGCAGTGGAGCATCGTAAGGAGATGCAGTCCCATGGTAGCCGGTGACCAACGATTGGTTCATACGCCATTCGTTCCCGCAGGATATTGGAGCCCATGTGCACCAATGTGGTTCGACCATAGGGTTTTTGTCAGATATCATAAGGTAGCACTGACCAATGTTACGCTATAAAACCAGTTAACAAATTGGTCTGGGTACATACCAACTCTTCCCATAATTCATACTTCTTGAAGACATATATATATATATATATATATATATATATATCACTGATTAAGCGAAAACTGAAGGCTTTACAACTAACAGTTTGACTAGAGAAGAAAATCATGCTTATCTGATGTTGAACCTGGAGTGTACTAACAACTTGAACGGAGCGTCTAATACCTTTCAGCAGTATCTTAAGGCAAATTCTGTACGTAAATGAGGGCCAAATTACTTGTGCCTTTTAGAGACAATCATCTGAGTAATATAAACATTTAGCCAGGTGTGCACTACAACTCAGATGTACGAAATAACGTCTTGAGATCACAAATGGTGTTTTATTACAAGTTAACATTTAAATGTACCCCATACGTCAGGAGCAGTTCGGAAGAATTTAGCTACGAAATGAACAGAAAACGATATAGAATATGTTAACAGATAAATATTACATACACTTAATTACAGTGACCTACATTATTTCCGTTTTCCAGATTTTGTACACACACGTTAAGCTTATCCAGCATCACAAATACTGATCCTTTATAATCACATCCTTGGAATAGGGATAACCTCAGTTCGCATTTAGAAACTACCAGGTAGAAAAATAAATGTAGACTTACGAATACCGTTATGCTCAATGAGTATAGAGGAGAGATTGATGGCCGCAACAGCAATTAATACATCAGGTCCCAATTTGAAATGATTAAAGACTTTTATTTGGATGATGCTCTTCGGAGATGCAATAACTGAGATAGACTCATTCCATGTAGGATTCCATGTCTTATGGCACACTTTGGTTTTGTAAACAAAAGTATTGTCAACTAATAAGTCTGCAAACAAATCACCGCTTTTGCTAAATAAGCTTTTACACGACGAAGAAAATGTAGCACATTTAACTAAAACACAAATTAGACGTAATGTGTGACTTACTCGTGATTACTAACTGGCTCAGTCTTCTTGAGAGGGACGTATCACATGTTGTAAGCATATGGACAGCAAGGACTGTACAAAATGCTAACTAATGTGCTAAATATGTATTCAGATCTGAAGAGGGACGTTTTTCAGGAATGAAACATGGGCTCTGGATAACTACAAAGCGATTTGAAAAATTAGTGATAATGAGTAGTAATACCACTAGTATTAAAATTACTTTCACTGAGCTTATGTAAAAAGATATTTGAAACGAGTAAGTAATAAAATTTATACCCTTATAGGTAATAATGAAGCGACCGGGAAAGTAGACCACAAGCAACAGGAACTCGGTGTTGTTTATTTCGGAACCACTTTGGGATATGCAGTTTCTTAGTAGGGACAAGTGTAACTCATTAACCAGGTACAGGTTTATGTAGTGACCCTGATGGATAAATCAAAGTAGGCGGAGCATAGTCGAACATTAAACCTAATAGCTGAAACTCGAGTGTCTGAACTACTGAAATTCATAGTTACAGCATAATTGCTCTGAGGTATATGTTGTCGAATATTACTACCATTAGATTTCCCGATGGCCAATAGATAGATATAGGCATATTGTGACTCAAGTTGGTTTGAATAGAACGGTTTATGATACCCGACTCTTAGGGTGGTAAGCCTCCCATTAAAACGTTTTAATGCCTGCGGAGAATCAATAAATTACTCTATTAGCTTAAAAGTCAGGAATGGGGCCTTAAACTGCTAGAAATGGTAGTAGTAAGGTATGCGATGAGCTGTTATAATTTAGACCACTATAGATTTTACAGCGAAGTGCCTTTAAAATCTAAGAGGATTTCGTGCGATAAGGTCACTATAGTTTCGAAATGAAGAATAACTATATAATACTTGGAGAGTCATTCGCGATCCAATCACTTCATAACCTATCCAGTCACAAGCGTTGATTGTGACGAAGGTCATGTAAGTACCGCTACTACTGACGTTGAAAACTTTGTTGATATTTTTTACGTTTATACATTGTCTGGTCCACCACAATTATTTAGTGAGCCCCGAATTCATTATGGACGTTTGCTGTTTATATATATATATTATTTTTATTACTTGGCACGCCACTCTATTATTTTTTTCCCACTATGAACTCTCCCACTAAACTCATTGATATTGATAGTCCACCTACCAATCCCCAAAACTCTTCACAACCTGAAGAAAACGCTTTAAGCTCCATCAACGCCATCTCAGAGTTAAGACTACCAATGTATGGTGTTAATAATCCTAGAATCTGGTTCGCCCAGGTAGATGCATTATTTTTGGCACGAGGCATACGCTCTCAGGCGACCAAATACGCACACGTTGTCGGAGCACTACCAATAGAGGTGGCTAGAGAGGTCGGCGATCTAATTGATAATGTACCTGAGACGGACCCCTACGACAAAATTAAAGCCGCAGTCATCCACCGTACGTCGCAGTCCGATGAAAAACGTTTACAACAACTGCTTATAGCATGCGAATTAGGAGACAAAAGACTGTGCAACCAGCAGATATTAGTTGTTAAGCCTCCTTCCAAAAGCAGTTAACTCAATTAACGAGCCAGCTGGCGTGACTGCAATCGACAATAGCAACCGTCCAAGCTAGACAATTGAGATCCTCCTCCAAACGAATATCTTTTTCTAGACAACGGTCTCGATCACCGAAGCAAACATCTGCAGTTTGTTGGTATCACCAAAAATACGGCACCAAAGCACGGCGTTGCACACGACCGTGCACATTTTCTTCGACTGATACTAAGAATCAGGAAAACAGCCCGGCCAGGCAGTGATGGCGGCGCTTGTTTCTGGCCATTTCTGGCTCAGACTTTTTAGTCGATACCGGGGCCGAAATCAGCATCTTCCCACTACATCTCTCTCGACGACGGCACTCTGAATGTTCTAAATTATCTCTCATCGCGACCAACAACACTGTCATTAAAACTTATGGAGAACAGTCATTAGTCTTAGACCTCGGCCTCAGAAGATTCACATGGGTGTTTATTGTAGCTCAAGTCAAACAACCCATTCTCGGAGCCGACTTCCTCAGTCCTTACAACCTATTAGTAGATGTGGGCAACAGGAAATTAGTTGACAACAACACGAATTTACAGGTCATTGGCACAATCACCTTCAACTACGAAAGGCATGGAGTTCGAGTGATAAAACCTGTGAACAACATCTTCACCGACATGTCGAAATTTGAGTGCATCACTAGGGTAGATTACCGAAACGAATGTACCACCCACCATGTACAACATCACATTACTACCACAGGCCCACCAATACGCGCCAGGCCAAGAAGACTACCACCACATAAGCTATTAATTGCTAAGCGAGAATTCGAGCATATGATGAAACTAGGCGTCATTAGGCAGTCTAGCAGCCCATGGGCTTCCTCACTACACATGGTCCCGAAAAAGGATCAAGATTGACGCCCCTGTGGAGACTACCGCCGTTTAAACAACCTGACTATTACGGATCGATACCCCATTCCTCACTTACATGACTTTTCTTTGAACCTACATGGAAAACGGATCTTTTGGAAGTTACATCTAGTTCGAGCATATCATCAAATACTGATGGCACCCGGGAATATTGAAAAAACAGCCGTAATCACACCTGTTGGCTTGTTTGAATTCTTGAGGATGCCTTTCGGACTAAAAATCGCTACTCAAACCTTTTAGAGATTTATGGACGAAGTAACCAGAGGTTTGGATTTTGTATTTGTCTATGTTGACGATGTTTTAATCGCCAGTTCTTCCACTTTCACACACTTTTCGAACGTTTCGAAAGTTATGATGTTGTAATCAACCCTTCGGAGTGTATATTCGGCGCCTCAACTCTGGAGTTCCTGGGACACTACATCGATTCCCAAGGAAGAAAAAGTCGAAGTCATAATCAACTTTCCTGAGCCCAAGTCGATAAAAAACATTACGCCGGTTCCTGGGGATGTGCAACGTTTTCTCCGACGTTTTCTCCCTAGCCGTGCGGCCATTTTGCAACCTTTGACAGATTTACTGAAGACGGATAGAACTGAAGTTCAGGCTAAAAAAAGAGAATACCTTCACGTTAACGCTCGAGGCCAGAGAGGCTTTCGCTAAAGCGAAATTGATGATATCCAATGCTACCATGCTACAGCACGTAAACACCGACCCCACAACGTACCTCATCCTCTGCACTGACACCTCCCAGAAAGCAGTAGGAGCAGTATTACAGCAGTGCATGAAGGACAAGATTACTCCTATAGCGTTCTTTTCCAAACGATTATCGCCAATTCAAGGGCGTTATAGCACCTTCGGACGTGAACTTCTGACTATGTGCATAGCTGTAAAACATTTCAGCTTCCAGTTACAGGGCCGTGGTTTCTCTATTATGACTGATCATAAACCTCTTTGCTATTCCTTTAACACGTCGTACGACAAGCATTCCCCACGGGAAGCTAAACAAACTGGATTATATTTCTCAATTCACTACGGACATCCAGTTTATCAAAGGCTCCTCCGACATTGTCGCAGACACTTTATCTAGAAAGGATATCAAGATGATGGTACACAACCACAACATCAGCCTCGAAGCTTTAACTAAACTACAAGTGGACGATGCAGATTTGAAGGCCTGCAAAGAGAAATCTAACTTGAATCTTGAACATGTACCCATTCCTTTCTCAGATGCATCTATCATTTGCGACACTTCAACGGGTAATAATCACCCCTTCGTGCCACAACCTTGTCGACGAAAAATATTTCAGCACTTGCACGGTCTTTCACACCCAGGCATCAGAGCAACAACAAAGCTTATCACAGAACGTTTTGTTTGGCCAAAAATCAATTCGGATGTTCAACACTGGACACGTGGCTGCTTACAGTGCCAACGCAGCAAAATCCAAAAACACACCATTAGCCCAGTTGGGGAATTCCCCTTCCCTGACGAACGCTTCTAGCACGTGCATTTAGATTTAGTCGGGCTCCTGATACCATCAAACTCTTCCACGCACATCCTTACTGCAGTAGACAGGTTTACTAGATGGGCCATAGCCTGCCCCATAAAAGACACTTCGGCAGAAACAGTCGCTTCAGTCTTCCTCGACCGCTGGATATCTAACTATGGAGTACCATCAATATTCACAACAGATTATGATCCCCAAATTCAATCTGTCCTTTTTCAAAAGTTCACTAAACTTCTCGGGGTAAACCACATCAAAACAACAGCTTATCATCCTGTAGCTAATGGCATGGTTGAAAGATTTCATCGCCAATTAAAAAGCTCACTGATGGGGAAAGCTGACTCATCAAAGTGGAGCGATGCCTTACTGCTTGTACTCCTCGGTATTCGTTCAACTATAAAGGAAGACATTGGATGTACAGCCGCCGAGTTAGTCTATGGTACAACTCTAACGTTACCTGGTCAACTAGTCAACTATGAACCTACAACGCCAGGGGATTCTACTCCCTTCGCAAGTCGCCTATTACAAACGATGCAGAATATTAGAGCAATATCCCCTCGCAAACACAACAATCGGGTTCAACTTGATAAAAACCTTGAGACGTGCAAATTTGTCTTCGTCCGAGTAGATGCGATAAAAAAACCATTGAAACAACGATACGAAGGCCCAGATAAAGTAATTAAACGCACACAAAAATACTTCATCATCAACAGAGATGGCAGCAAGCAGACCATTTCTATAGACAGAATTAAACCTGCTTTCTGTGAAGCTACTCAAGTCAAAGAAGACAACACTGTTGACAAACAATCCCTCCCACCAGTGACTGAAAAACCAGTGGAGGATAAAAAACTTAATATTAAGCCTTCTTGTTTAACACGCTCCAGTAGACTTATAAACAAACCCAAGCGTAATGTCCATTTCGTCGATTAAAAAATCAAAGCAAACACCTACCGATGTCCCACAGTACTAATTTCACCCAAAAAAATTTTTTCCTTCCACAGTGTACATAATCAACCATTTTTTCCACAATTATTCGTTTTGTCACATTTTTTTTCAAAAAAATTTGTCACAATAATAAACGAGTAAACTCTT